GGGCTCGGTACCGGTGCACCAGGCGGAGGGCCCTCGGCCGCGTGGCGGTGACCAAGTTGGCGGTGGCTGAGGAGTTGGTGGTGGCGGCGTTTTCCTTGCAGCGGCTGGATCCTGCCGTGTGGACTCTGTGCGGTGCCCGCAGGGCGGTGCTGGCGCTCGCCTATCGCTCTGCTCTCTCTTTGTAGACGGCGGGCGCTAATACCACCGACAAGGAGCTAGAGGTTCTGTCCTTGCACAACGTCACCTTTGAGGACGCCGGGGAGTACACCTGCCTGGCGGGCAATTCTATTGGGTTTTCCCATCACTCTGCGTGGCTCGTGGTGCTGCCAGGTACCGGCTTCTGCTGCTGCTGCTCCGCACTGTCTCGGGGACGCTGGCTCGGGACATGCCACAGCCGCCAGGACGGACGGGAATCCTGTAGCTTATGGCCGCCCCGCTTCTTGAGCCGTCACACTGGCCCTGTGCCCGGTGTGGGGACAACGTTGGCCTGGCCCGGTCCTGGTCCCAGAGGGGCCCCATCAGCCCCCTCGAGCCTCCTTCCCATCTGGGTCCCCAAAGGCCCCTCCTGCGGCTCTGGTGTCTCCTGGGCGCCTGGTGGCGGTGTGGGACTGGCTGGCTCTGCTGGGCTCCTCCTCTCCAGGGTCTGGCCCTCCAGACTCACCCGAGTTACTGACCGCAAGACCTTCCAGACAAGGCGGGTGCTGAGGTTCTGAGCCCCCTCCCGCTCCCAGTGGTGCCTGCAGCTCTGAGCCAGGAGCATCCATGGGGGCCCGGGGTGGGGGCCAGGCCAGGCCTCAATGCCCGTGTCTTTGCAGCTGAGGAGGAGCTGGTGGAGGCTGACGAGGCGGGCAGTGTGTACGCAGGCATCCTCAGCTACGGGGTGGGCTTCTTCCTGTTCATCCTGGTGGTGGCGGCTGTGACGCTCTGCCGCCTGCGCAGCACCCCCAAGAAAGGCCTGGGCTCCCCCACCGTGCACAAGATCTCCCGCTTCCCACTCAAGCGACAGGTAACAGAAAGTAGATACCAGGTTCCGAGCTGCCTGCCCGCCGGGCCTCCCGGAGTCCCCCTCGGCCCACGCTGGTCCTTGGCTGTGCGAGTCCTTTCTGCAGCCAGGCGGGCTCACCTCTCCTTGTCTTTGGTCACCATGTAGAGCCCAGGGTACTTTGGGACACAAAACATTCTAAAACTCTTCATTCAATGCTGGTGGAAGTCAGAATGCCCCCGCTTCCGGCCCAGCACTGACCCCCAGCTGTACCTCCACGCCCCATCGCCCACACGGCGCCAACCTGCCCCTGCTGACCCAAGCAGGTGTCCCTGGAGTCCAACGCGTCCATGAGCTCCAACACACCGCTGGTGCGCATCGCAAGGCTGTCCTCAGGGGAGGGTCCCACGCTGGCCAATGTCTCCGAGCTTGAGCTGCCTGCTGACCCCAAATGGGAGCTGTCTCGGGCCCGGTCAGTGGTGCTGAGGGCTGGCGTGGGCTGTAGGGGGCTCGGTGGTGGGGGTGAAACAGCTGCCAGGCAGAGGCCTGGCTGCGTTTAGGGGCCATCAGGGATGTGGTGGATGTTGGGTGTGGCTGGGGCTCTGTGGGGATGCTCCTGGGAGGGGTGTGTGGCAGTGTTTCAAGGTGCCGTATTTGGAGGGCCAGCAAGGGCGGGAGGCCGTAGGTGACATTCTTCATCCTTACGAGCAGGCTGTAGGGGGAGCATGGAGGGCTTCCTGGAGGTGGTGGCTCTGGGCCTCAAGGGCTGGGCCAGGTGGGGGTGGGGACTGTGGTGGGCTGAGAGTGGATGAGCTTGCACGCTCATGGCCCCTCTGCCTCCACTGCCAGGTTGACCCTGGGCAAGCCCCTTGGGGAGGGTTGCTTCGGCCAGGTGGTCATGGCGGAGGCTATCGGCATTGACAAGGACCGGGCCGCCAAGCCTGTCACCGTAGCCGTGAAGATGCTGAAAGGTGAGGAGGGGGCGACCAGGGGTGCAGGGCCGGGCTGGGGGTGCCGCCGCCTGACACAGGCCCTCCCTCCTTGCACAGATGATGCCACTGACAAGGACCTGTCAGACCTGGTGTCTGAGATGGAGATGATGAAGATGATTGGGAAACACAAGAACATTATCAACCTGCTGGGCGCCTGCACGCAGGGCGGTAGGTGTGGTGGTAGCGGCGGTGGTGCCAGGTGGGCAGCCCTCCTGGGTCTGGCAGCCCCTCTGAGGAGCCCGTGCCCCCAGGGCCCCTGTACGTGCTGGTGGAGTACGCGGCCAAGGGCAACCTGAGGGAGTTTCTGCGGGCGCGGCGGCCCCCGGGCCTGGACTACTCCTTCGACACCTGCAAGCCGCCTGAGGAGCAGCTCACCTTCAAGGACCTGGTGTCCTGTGCCTACCAGGTGGCCCGAGGCATGGAGTACCTCGCCTCCCAGAAGGTGAGCAGGGTGGCAGGTGTGGGTGGAGCAGGCTGGGCACTGCCCCGAGATGCTGGGAGCAGCAGGGAGAGGTGGAGAGGCTTCAGCCCTGCCTCCCATCCCTTCCCCAGTGCATCCACAGGGACCTGGCTGCTCGAAATGTGCTGGTGACCGAGGACAACGTGATGAAGATCGCAGACTTCGGGCTGGCCCGCGATGTGCACAACCTTGACTACTACAAGAAGACAACCAACGTGAGCCCGGCCCTGGGGTGGGGGGTGGGGGCCATGCCAGGAGGACACCTGGCGCCAACACTGCCTTCCCACCCCCTCCCAGGGCCGGCTGCCCGTGAAGTGGATGGCGCCCGAGGCCCTGTTTGACCGAGTCTACACCCACCAGAGTGACGTGTATGTGTCCTCCAGACCCCTGGCTTCAGGGGTGGAGGCGGGAACTGGGCAGAGCCAGGACCCCAGCTGCAGCCCCCACGCCTGTGCCCTGGGGCTCTTGGGCGTGGTCTCTACCCCTCCCTGGGGCAGCAGCGCAGCCCTGGCCTGTTCCCCTGGTGCCCGCCCACGTGTCTGTCCTGGGAGTCTCAGGACAGCCTGACCTCGCCTCCCCCTGCAGCTGGTCCTTTGGGGTCCTGCTCTGGGAGATCTTCACGCTGGGGGGCTCTCCGTACCCCGGCATCCCTGTGGAGGAGCTCTTCAAGCTGCTGAAGGAGGGTCACCGGATGGACAAGCCGGCCAACTGCACACACGACCTGTGAGCGCCATCCCTGGCCCTCCACTGGCTCCTCGGGTGGGAGGCCCTCCAGGGCTGGGCGGGGTAGGGACTGGCAGCCCTTCAGGCTGTTCCCGAATAAGATGGGAGGCGGCGGGGCTCACACCTGAGCACCCTGCCCGCAGGTACATGATCATGCGGGAGTGCTGGCATGCTGCGCCCTCCCAGAGGCCCACCTTCAAGCAGCTGGTGGAGGACCTGGACCGTGTCCTCACTGTGACGTCCACCGACGTGAGTGCTGGCTCTGGCCTAGTGCCACCCCCATGCGCCCCCTGCCCCCGGCCATCCTGCCTCCCAGAGTGCTGAGGTGTGGGGCAGACCCTCTGGGGCACAGCCTGGGCACAGCGGTGGCTGTGCGAAGAGGGGCTTTGTGGGACAGCGCTCACCCCGCCTCCCACCAGCAGGAGTACCTGGACCTGTCAGCGCCCTTCGAGCAGTACTCCCCCGGCGGCCAGGACACCCCCAGCTCCAGCTCCTCAGGGGATGACTCCGTGTTTGCCCACGACCTGCTGCCCCCGGCCCCACCCAGCAGTGGGGGCTCGCGGACGTGAAGGGCCACTGGTCCCCAACAATGTGAGGGGGTCCCTAGCAGCCTACCCTGCTGCTGGTGCACAGCCACTCCCCGGCATGCGACTCAGTGCAGATGGAGAGACAGCTACACAAAGCTTCAGTCTGTGTGCATCTGTGTGTGTGTGTGTGCGCGCACATCCGTGTGTGTGTGTCTGCGTGCGTGCGCATCTTGTGGCCTCCAGGTGCAGAGGTACACCCTGGGTGTCCCTGCTGCTGTGCAACGGCCTCCTGACGTGCTGCAGCACCAAGGGGCGTTTGTTCTGGGGGGACCCAGTGCAGAATGTAAGTGGGCCCACCCAGTGGGACTCCCGTGGGGCAGGGAGCTGGGCCCAACATGGCCCCAGCCTCTGCCTTTGCACCACGGGACATCACAGGGTGGGCCTCAACCCCTCCCACACCCAAAGCTGAGCCTGCAGGGAAGCCCCACGTGTCGAGCACCTTGTTCCTGGGGGTGTTAGTGGCACTGCCCCCCGACCTCCAGGCTTTCCCAGTTCCCACCCTGCCCCTCAGAGACTGAAATTACGGGTACCTGAAGATGGGAGCCTCTACCTTTTATCCAAAAGGTTTATTCCAGAAACTAGTGTACATTTCTATAAATAGATGCTGTGTATATGGTATATATACATATATATAAAATATATGGAAGAGGAAAAGACTGGTACAACGGAGGCCTGCGACCCTGGGGGCACAGGAGGCAGGCGTGGCCCTGGGCAGGGAGGGAGGCCCCAGGGGTCTCACCATGCAAGCAGCGGAGCAGGGGCCTTTTCTGGCACTGCAGGTTTGTTTTAAAACTGGACCTGTATATTTGTAAAGCTATTTATGGGCCCCTGGCACCCTCGTTCCCACAGCCCAACACTTCTAGCATTTAGCCAGCCACATGGCGGAGAGTTTTAATTTTTAACTTATTAACAGCCGAGAAGGTTTATCCTGCCTGTAGAGGGACAGCCAAGAATGTACGTCCAGCCTGCCCCGGAGCTGGAGGATTCCCTCCAAGCCTAAAAGGTCGTTAATAGTTGGAGGTGATTCCAGTGAGTAAGGATATTTTATTTCCTTTGTCCTTCTTTTTCAGGAGAAGTAGATTTCTATAGGACTTTTCTTTAGGAGATTTATATTTTGGACTTCAAAGCAAGCTGGTATTTTCATACAAATTCTTCTAATTGCTGTGTGTCCCAGGCGGGGCGATGGTTTCCAGGGAGGGGCCGGCCCTGCGTGCAGGTTCAGATGTTATTAGATGTTACAAGTTTATACATATCTATATATATAATTTATTGAGTTTTTACAAGATGTATTTGCTGTAGACTTAACACTTCTTACGCAATGCTTCTAGAGTTTTATAGCCTGGACTGCTACCTTTCAGAGCTTGGAGGGAAGCTGTGAATTCAGTTGGTTGGTTCTGTACTGTTACTGGGCACTGAGTCTCTGCTACCTTTCAGAGCTTGGAGGGAAGCTGTGAATTCAGTTGGTTGGTTCTGTTACTGGGCACTGAGTCTGGGCAGCTGTCCCTTGCTTGCCTGCAGGGCATGGCTCAGGGTGGTCTCTTCTTGAGACCCAGTGCATGGTGGCCAGAGGTGTCACCCAAACCTGCAGGTGCGATTTTGTTAACCCAGCGACGAACTTTGCAAAAAATAAAGACACCTGGTTCCTAACCTGGCTCTGAGGTTTCTGCCTCCCGTTCTTCTGGGATAGGGGAGGGAGGGGTCACTGGCTGCTGGGTGGTCCCAGGTGGATGCTGGCAGCAGCACCGAAGGTCCCTGGTGGTCTGGGAGCCCCCAAGGGTGAGGAGACTACGGGAGGGCCCTGGTGGGAGGGAGCAGGGTGCCTGGGGGTGCACTGCCCTGGCTGCTCCCAGCTCATGGGTTCCTGAGGTGGTGGTGGTGGGGAGGGTCCTGTCCCACTAGCTGTGAGGCAGACCTTCCCTCATCACCCCACCCCTGGCATCCGCCTTCCCAGTCAACTGGGGAGCTTTCTGGGCATCCCCCCCATGGAGCCAAAAGTAAGCAAAACCCTCTTGGGGCCCTGGGGGGCTACACAGGTGGCCACTCTCTGGGTCAGCCTCTGCCCTCCCAGGCTGGGCAACCAGTGCCCCCACTGCCTTGGGCTCCATCAGGGTCCCCCACAGTGACACAGCACCTTTGGGCAGATGAGGTGCTGATGGGGGTGCTGAGAACCCAGAGATGGAACCGGGCCCTTGCCCAAGTTCATAGCCCTAGCAGGGTGGGAGGACAGCCTGGTGAGAGCAAGTCTGGGAAGGCTTCCTGGAGGAGGAGTGCCATCTCCTGACTCCCCACCACCCTCTGTGTTGTCCTCTCCTCCGCTCTCCCCATCTGTGCTGTCCCCACCTCTGCCGCTCTCCCTCTGCTCTCCTCCCCCATCCCCTCTGTCCTCCCCACCTCTCTCTGCCGCTCTCCCTCTGCTCTCCTCCCCCATCCCCTCTGTCCTCCCCACCTCTCTCTGTCCTCTCTGCCATCCTCCCTCTTCTCTGCTGTCCTCCCCGCTGCTCTTGTCCCTCCTGCCATCCTCCTCGTCTCTCCTCCCCTCTGCTGGCTTGAGAGCAGGGTTTCCCAACCATGAGCTGCATGAACTTTCACTCTATACTCTGGCTCCAAACTCACCTTTCAGGTCAGGGGGCGTTCCTGGCCCCTGTTTCCTGGGCAGGCAAGGGTTTAACTCAACCCCATTCAGGGAAGCACATGTGGGCGCAGGCCTGGTGGAAGCAGCACAGTGACCTCACAAGGGGCTTTCCCTAATGCCCACACCTGCCCAGAAACCCCATGCTGGGCCCGGAGGCAGGCCTGACGATGGGACGCCAGATGACAGTGGCAGGATGGGGAGGCCTACATGGGCCTGAAGGTCACAGGCTGAGGCCTGCAGGGTAGTGGGGCGACCAGGCCAACAGGCAGGCAGTGACAGCAGCCACACCAGGCCGGCAGAGCATGGGGCTCGGAGCGCAGGCCGGGGGCGCCACCTAGCGCTGGCTGGCAGTGTCCCTGCTAAACTTAAGGCACTTCTCCAGTCAGGGCCCTGGTGGACCTCTGGTGGGCACAGTGGGACCCTGAATGGGTGCTGGGGACCAAAGGGCTGGGCCACTGGGAGAACAGTGGCCCATGAAGGTGCTGGTGGGCCAGTCTCCTCCTCCTCAGAGCGCTTCCTTAGAGAACCCAGATGGCAGGACATAGTCCTCGAAGCTGCCCCACCAGGGGCTCCCCAGCTGCCTCCCCCTGTCCCATAAGAAGGTGAGCCCATGAGAGACCCCAGCTGTCAGCACAGCTGAACCTCCACCATCAGGGTACCCTCTAGTGGCTGGGCATGCTCTAGGCTGGCAGGGTCCCCGCCCTTGCCGTCTGCTGATGGCTTTCTGAGGGGGACGTGTCTCATGGGAGGCCCGGCTTCCAGGACACAACTCGTGGCTCCTGGGGTCACCAAGGGCACCGGGTTTGTTCATAGCTCTTGGGGTTGCTGTCCCCATGAATGAGCACCTCCCACCCCAGCTGTGGGTCCATCATTTCCTCTGATCAATAAGGGCCTAAGGGTCAAGGGAGGCCCTGAGGGAGGACCCTCAGTGTGAACAAACCAGCAGCCAGGGCCACAGAGAAGCCCGTGAGGCACCCACAGGGCCTGGTCCCAGTGTGGGCAGAGCCACCTAAGGGATGGCTTCTGTCTACCGAGAAGGGTTGGAAGCCAAGACGCCACACTGCTACCCTGGCACTGGAACCATCCATGCACTCCTGCAGCCGGGCCACGCTGAGGCAGGTAGGCATCCAGAGGTCCGGACGGGGGGCTGCCCTCCATGCCCCCAGGCCATCACACGTCCCTCAGGGTGTCTGGGCCCTGCCTGTGGGCTAGACTGCAGGCTGAAGGCCCTGCCTCGTCCAGGACTCCTTAGGGCAGTACTTGGCGCCCTTTCCCCTCAGCTGCCTGAGGAGTCTTTCGGAAGAGCTGGCCCTCCTGGGTGACACCTCGGCCAGGGTCCCAGCCGCTAACCCCAATACTCCCAAGAAGACACTGAGGTCCCCAGAGCAGGGAGAGCATGACCAGGTGACAGGGCCACTGGCCTGGAGAACGTCCCACACTGTTCCATGAGCAGCTCACACTGTCACAGGACCTGGGAACGTGGGCCTCCTGACCCTGCAGACCATCCTGCAGAGCAGGAAGCGTGAAGCCAAAGGCTAAACCCATGGAGGGCGGCCTAGCACTCAAAACCCCAGGGATGGTGAGGCTCCTTCCGAACTGGCCTCGCAGCCATGCGCACCCCAAGGCCCAGCCCCTGCAGCCACGTGGACAGCACTGCCGGCTTCCACTAGCTCCTGTGTGCCCAACGGTTCAGAAATATTATTACTCTGCACTGTTACAGGAACAGATTTGATGTTTTAATAAAAATACGAGTTCTACAAAAGGTGCTTAACACGGCCCAGGACGGGCTCTCCGGTGGTCAGCCCTAGGACCCCTGAAGGACACACAAAGACAAAGCCGGCTCGCCAGCACGCTCCTGCCAGCACCGCGACCCACTGGGAGCCACTGCAGGTTGTCCTTCATTAAAAAAAGAAGTCTGGATTGTGACATTCCAAAAGGAGTCTGGAAGCTGTATGCCCAATTCCTGAATCCCTACGCTAGAACTGAGAGTTTAGGCTGGGCGCGGTGGCTTACGCCTGTAATCCCAGCACTTTGGGAGGCTGAGACGGGTGGCTCACCTGAGGTCAGGAGTTCGAGACCAGCCTGACCAACATGATGAAACTCCGTCTCTTAATAAAAACACGCCCGTAATCCCAGTACTTTGGAGGCCAAAGGTGAGCGGATCACGAGGTCAGGAGATGGAGACCATCCTGGCTAACATGGTGAAACCCCGTCTCTACTAAAAATACAAAAAAATATTAGCCGGGTGTGCTGGTGGGCGCCTGTAGTCCCAGCTACTCGGGAGGCTGAGGCAGGAGAATGGCGTGAACCCGGGAGGCGGAGCTTGCA